TTGAATTTAGATCTAGAAAATAAAAAAGAACTCTACTGACGAGCAAATTTAAATTTAGATCTAGAAATAAAAAAAAGGACTCTACTGACGAGCAAAATTAAATTTAAACCTCAAATATAAAAAAGGACTCTACTGACGAGCAAAATTAAATTTCCAACCTCAAATATAAAAAATAATTAAGTTAATAAATTAATTAAGTTAATAAATCAATTAACCTTTTTTCCAGTATGGCTTCGGCGAGCCACCACCTCCTAGCACCACACGTCGCCTCCGCCAACGCGGTCGCCAATTCGGGTTCTGCGTCCTGCTGCAAACAATCCTTAAGCCACGTATGACGCCCAAATGGGGACGGAGGCTCCGGGTCGCCAAAAAGGCACCCCCAACAAAACGGAGGACACCAAAGCGCAACTGATCTCTATAATAAATCAAACAATAGTGTCGTGGGACACCAAAGTCTGGTGGGACACCAAAATGTGGGTCACCAAGTGGCGAGCACCAGATATTGGCAGGACACCAGATAATAGACGTTTATAATAAACCAAAAAGTGCGACTAATCAAAGTGATGATAAAAGTCACCATTACGACGATATTGGGTGTCAGTACGATGATAACAGTCATACGTATGTAAGTATAGCACAACCCTTTGATGACACCAAAAACGACAGTGGTGATAGGATTTTATCGCCTCTTGGTGGTGATTTGAGGAGAACTGGTGACGGTGCCGATACGCCCCAAAGTGGTGTACAAGGGCGCAAAAATTACAGACTGAGTGGCGGTAACTTTGTTGCCAATTCTGGTGCTGGAACTAACTATGCTGCCAATTCTGGTGGTTCTAGGTCACCACACGGTGATCGTTCTCATGATTATGGAGTGATGTGAAATTAATTGACTTTTTTAGACATAAGTTAAAATTTTGATACTAACCGCCACTTTTTTATTGTTAATATTTAAGATTAAATGAAGACGTGAAGGTATAGTCATATTTGTAATATATTTTAGTGCAAAAGAAATCTAAATTGCCATTGGTGGATGTATTACTTCACTATTCACTAAGGAATGCAATACAGATGAAAAATTTCAATACCGGTTTTTCGGTAATTTTTCATTTTAAAACCGGTAAATTACCTGTGTTTTTATTGATAGATGAACAATTTTTTCAAAATTGCTAGCTTTATTCGATAAATACTTTAAATTCATATATTATCGTCATGTCGCCCGAACCTAACACGGCGCTTTTCTATACATTTTTACTTAGGCTTGGGTACGCATGGTGAGCATAAGTCAATATTATCTTAAACAAACGTAAACAAAATTGAAAGTTACTAGGACAAATATAAATTTGTGGCATTTTTCTAAATTTGCTCGTCAGTAGAGTCCTTTTTTTATTTTTTCTATTAATTTGCTCGTCAGTAGAGTCCTTTTACATTTTTTTTTTGCTTAATTTGCATGTCAGTAGAGTCCCTTTTATCATGTTTGTTTAATTTGTCCGTCAGTAGAGTCCTTTTTACATTTTTTTGCTTAATTTGTTCGTCAGTAAAGTTTTATCACACTTTTCGGAATTTGCTCACCAGTAGAGTTCTTTCTTGTCTAGTAACATTATTTTTGAACTCTACTGACGAACAAATTAAAAAAAAGTCTTAAAAGAACTCTACTGACGAGCAAATTAACAGAAAAAATATATAAAAGGGACTCTACTGACGAGCAAATTTAGAAAAATACCATAAAAGAACTCTACTGACAAACAAATTTAAAAAAAAGTCTTAAAAGAACTCTACTGACGAGCAAATTCAGAAAAAAGTACAAAATGTTTGTTAGAAAAATTGAATTTTGTACCAAATTTTTGGGGATTTGATAAATAAAAGGACTCTACTGACGGTCAAAATGAATATATATATATATATATATATATATATATATATATATATTGTTAGTTAATTTCGATGTTGAGATACAAGTTAGAAAAAAATAAAAATTACACAAGGGTAATATGTATGATATAAAATATTTTGTCCAAATATCACTTAAAAAACAGTTACAATTTTACAAAAGATGAAACAAACATCTTTATCTATCAGTCCAATTCTATTTATCGTAACACGATATGAAGCCCTTCGGAAAGCAATAAATATTCAGTTTAATGACGAGTTGAAATAATATTTGACATTTGTTTATCTTATAGAATCACTTGAAAATATAGCTGTTTATGCGATTATGGAATTTAAAGATAAATTTGTTCCGAAAAAAGTGTATTATGTAATGTAAAAATACCGAAAATACCGGTATTTTTAGGATAAATATCGGTAAAAATACCGCGAAAAACCGGGCGGTTTACCGGTAATTCGGTATACCGGTATTGCATTCCCTTCTATTCATCAATGACAAATTTTTATTTTAAAATTTCTCCAAGCCTGTTACGGTTTCAACAATAACAAGAACAACAAACTTCTAATTTATAAAAAAAGGAAATATTTATAAATTAAGCATTTAATAACTCAACTAGTCTATACTCATTTGTATAACTCAATAATTGTAATAAGATAGTTTTGTAGAATATAATGTATATTGTAGTGGTTCTAATGTTTTTGGCCGTTGGGGCACTTTATAATTATGTTTCTATGGGTCAGTTCACATTTTTCTGAAAAAAAACCGTGGTTTAGTCGTGACTTTTGAGCCAGCGAAATGTTAATTTAAATTATTTGTGCTAATATTTAAATACTAGATTGCTGACAATCAAATGAAGCCTTTGAAATGTTATAGGCCTATGCGAAACGATTAGGATGTTTAAATTGCCACTTGAAAATTCTTTTTGTGCATTACAACAATTTTTTCGACAGTAAATTAATATAAAACAAAATATTGATATTGTTAAATGAAATAGTACTTGCTCCTTGATTTATATTATAATTTTGTTTATATTTTCCTCCTATTAATCTAAAAAATATACAACTTTACATATTTCAACAATAATGCTTCGTGACTTATATTATAATATTAATTATTTCAAGAAATTCAACAATACAAGAAATTTTTCCGAAAAAACCGTAGCTCGGTCTTGACTTTTGAGCTAGCCAAATTTTTATTGAAACAGTTTTTCCACATATTTGAATATCAATTTACAAGAAAGTTGATGAAATAATAGTTTACAGTCAAATAAAGCCTTTAAAAAAATATTATAGGCCTATGAAAAACGATTAGGATGTTTTATTTGTCACTTGAAAATCGTCTTTGTGCATTTCAACCATTTTTTTCGCCTGTAAATTTATAAAAAAACTATACAAAATATTTATTTGTAAATTATATTTTAATTTTATTTATATTTTTCTCCTATTGTTCTAAAAAATATACAACACAATATATTTACTACATATTTTAACAAAAAACGACGATTTAAGTACTATTTCATCCTTCCATATTACCAGTTCAAAGGTCGCGAAAAGTCCAGTATGAACGTTCAAAAATTGTCAAACCACACGCATAGTGTGACAGCTAGTGGAAATAAAGCACAAACATTTACAAAGAACGAGTCATACAATTTGTCTTCTAGCTATCGCACTAACTGGAGATTCGAACGTACACGCTGGACTTTTCATGACATTAGAACGTTGCAAATGGACTTATGCAAATACATACATTTTGCTTAAAAATGTGTTAAAAACGTCGTTTTTCGAGATGTTTTAGTGCAAAAAACTTAATTGGATGGCTGGAAATTTCTTGAACTGACCCATAGAACTAAAAGCGAGTTGTGGCCCAATGGCCAATAAATTTGACACACTATAATATAATATATATAATAGTTTTAAGGAATCTTTTGGACCTTCAGACAAAAACATACGTAACTAGATTATAAGACTTTATATATATATATATATATATATATATATATATATATTTTGCCATTTAAATTATAACATATCAATTATATGCATATATATATATATATATATATATATAAATTATATTATTTATATTAATGTGATGTTTTTTTTAAAACGAAATTCAGTGTTGCCATATTGATTTGTTTATAACTAAAAGTCGTACTGTTGTTTTTATACCTTTGTACTATATATAGTCATAGTTATTTACGAGTGCTTTGCGTTTCATTTAAAATTTATTAACAAAATATTACATTTAAAAAATAAATTATCACTTGATAATTTAAAAATAAAGAAAAATGAAGCAATTTCATACTTTCTATCTCCCTCTCTCTCTTGTACGCACAACAAAACATAACTCTGTCTCTTTCGTGCAATTAATTTCGGCAGCCGAAACGTAAAGTACACAATAAAAAATATATTATATTAATAAATAAATTTATATTTATAATTTAATTCAAACATGACGTCTATTAAATCTATTCCTTTATAAATACAGTAGAACCCCGTTAAGACGCGGTTTCCCCGCATAAGACGCGGTTTTACTGTAATTAATATATTAATTAAATATATATTATATATTTTTTGTGATGTAACTGATAAATTTAATTATTTTACAAGCCATATTATTATTATTATTTATAAAATAAATATATAAAACTTTTTTAAAAACAAAATATATAAATAAGAACTAACATGAACAATTTTATACCTAAGATAAATTTATATATAGAAATTAATTTTAAGATATTAATTGAATAATTATGTATATATTATTATATTTATGTGCATTTTCCAAACACGAACACAAATGTATTCACAACTTTTGCTTCGGTGTACTTTAAAATAACAATTGAGTACGGAACTCTGTTGTTTTTTAATGCCTGTCACTAAGATATTTAAATTGGCGTCGTCGAGACCTTTCAAATGATACCCCACACGACTAATTTGACGCGAAACGTTTCGACCCTTTATTCTACCCATCAAATTATTTATTAGTTATTCAAACTCTTGTAACTTCTAAACGGTTTGTCTGAATTGAATGCAACATTCGACAAATTTGTTTAAAATTAAATTATCTACAATATTGCCTAACATTATAAGACCCTACAGCAACTCGGTACACTTTGAAAATAGAAATTGTTGCCGTAAAATTATTCTCGGTACTATATTTTTATAGAGCTTGTCGAGACCTTTTAAATGATACCCCACGCGACTAATTTGATGCGAAACGTTTCGACCCTTTATTCCTCCCATCATGAATGCATTTATTTAATAAAAGTCTTGTAACTTCTAAACGGTACGTCCGATTTGAACGCAAAATTCGGTAAATTTGTTCAAAATCAAATAATCTACAATATTGCCTAACATTATAGGATCCTACAGCAACTCTGTATACTTTAAAATCGTCAAAGAAAATCAATAAACTTAAATTCGTAATATATATAGTGAAAGTGCTGATGGAAAAGTTGTGAATGCATTTTAATTTTCCACACAGAGAAATATATTAGTTAATTTATATATACGAAAATTGTTTTTTAAATGTATTGTGGGTTTTTGAAATTAGATGTGTCGATGGATTTATTATACATATAAATATATATATATATATATATATATATATATATATTTGTATGTATATTTATATGTATGATGGAGAAAAAATTATGTATACGATTATTAGAACAAAATTTGATTTGTTTGCGTCTGAAAAACACACACATAGATATTTAAACAAAAAACAATATTATAATAATTGTATTATATGAATATTATTAATATTAAATTGATATTTGGAAAATTTTAATTTTTACAATATTTATTTAATTTATTTTATACTATATATATATATATATATATATATATATATATATATATATATATACAAAAATGAATAATTTCACTAACAATAAATGAATATGACGCCATTTTGTCTTATATGCAGTAATTGAGCACAATGTTCAATCAGTGTTGCAAACTATAAAAAATATGACAGTTTGCAAATTCATAAATACTTTGATATATACACAAAATTATAATCAATACAATTTTTATACTATAATTAATTAAATCTAGTAATACTGTAGTACTTAAATATTTAAATATGATTTAAATAATTTTTTTATATGTCATTTATTTTTCTTCAGTTGGCACCAGCGCCGCCTACTTCGTTGTTCTTAACGCGCGAACTAAATCTGACAGTTGGAGAGATCACAAATCATAATAAATTGATAAATTAATATTAAACTCGTGTTTAGTAATTAAAATGAATTATTAATTAATTATTGAAGTGTTAGTTAATTGTGCAAATAAGTGCTTGTGTTTAGGATGTACATAATGCTGCTTATCTTAGGTAAGTTTAGTTATATATTAATTTTATGATGGTTGATGGATTCAACTGCCATTTGCAATATTTTTACATGTATAAGATTTGTTTTATTGTATTTGCATAATAATGAATAATTGGCGCAATATGTAAATTATATGCTATCAATTTTATCTTTAGTAAAAAATGTAGATTTAGTAACAATTAGTAAAAAGTAAAAAAGTCCTTTAGGTACAGTAAGGTTAGGTCGGTTGGTCAGTAAGGTTAGGTCGGTTTTTTGATTGATTTTTTAAAATACTCTTTAAACTATTATGCATTATGTCATTGTCGTTAAAAAACTAGTTGTAAGTGTCATTTTACCTTAAAACAAGTATTTTACCTTCTCGATACGCATACATAATCAACTTAATCAATAAGAATCGAGATTCAAGAATTTAGATAAAATCTATCGAACCAAATACTCTTCTTTTATCTATGTATCGAACTTAAAGAAGTTTTACTTGAACAAATTTAAATTGTATGTTTGAAAAGTCTTTTTGGAATGTAATTCGAATACTGAAATTGCCTATATGGTTTGTCCAGCAAATATACGCTTTTTATTAATTTGTATCTGAGGTGTCTAAAGAAGTTTTACTTCAAAAATTTTCGATTCTATATCTTATACCTTGTAGGGTATCGTTTAAAAGGTCTTTTTGTATAAAATCCGAATACTGGAATAAACTACGTGGTTTATCCACTTTTAATGAATTTGTAGTAAACGAGCTTAAAGAAGTTTTACTTCAAAAATATTATATCGTATTTTTATACCTTGTTGGGTATCGTATGAAAGGTCATTTCGAATTGAATCCAAAAACTGATATTAACTACATGGTTTGTCCATGAAATATGCACTTTTGATGAATTTGTAGTAAACGGGCTTAAAGAAGTTTTACTTCACAAATATTACATCGTTTTTGTTTATAGCTTGTTGGGTATCGTTTAAAAGGTCTTGACAAATAGAAAACGATTTTCTTAAAAAAAATTCTCTCATTGTACGCATATCTAGATTGTATTGCAAAATATTACAATATTAAAGTTTATTGATTTTTTTTTCAAATAATTGAGGTGTAAAATTTTTGTAGCGTAACTAGGTGATTTTTTTACAAAATATACATTTTCAATGAAGTTGTAGCAGAAGAGTCTTAAGAAGTTTTACTTCAAAAATATTAGATTGTATATTTAATAGCTATGTGGGGTATTGTTTGAAAGGTCTTTTTGAATACAATCTGAATACTTGATTGAAATCTAAATATTTTAATTTTGGTTTTGAATCGAACCATACATAAAATTTGCAAATCGGACTTTCTGAAAAAGCTATAGACTTTCTCTTATTTAACTGCAATAAGTTAGATCAATCATAAATCTTGTAATTTGAATTTATTTTCAGTATCACAATCAAATTTAGTAATACTTGTAAAGTAATTTTTTATTTTTTTTTACTGAATGATGGATTTGATGTAGGCCGAAACGTATGAATCTAGTAAACTCATCTGTAAATAATTATATATGTAAAATGTAAAAATGACAAAAAATGAAATATATCTTTTGAACAGCTTTATTTAAAAAATTATATAAAAGTTTGTTTAGAAAAATATATACATGCTGATACATATACAAATGTATATGTATACATATACATATATATATATATATATATATATATATATATTTATTTATAAATTTCATTGACAGTACATAGCATTTAGTTTTATGATGTCCTTCTGGCTCAAGTTGGCTCTTTGTCCAATGACATCAGCCATAGCGGGATCCTGGATAAAAAATATGTTTATTTATATTTTTACCTAGATTTCCTAAATATAATTTTTTGGATCTCTCTCACCTTTGTAACGATTGTCCTGTAACCATTCTTCGAGAACCCGAAGGCATCATAGTGCATAACACTCATATAATCATAAGTCGTTCCAAAATTCTGCACAACACTCGATGAGAACTTATCGAAATTGTACTCCATTCCTAAAAGAAAAACATAGATTCAAACCATATTGTTTTCAAATTTCAAAAATTCAAAAGCGCCACCGTCCTTTATTAGTTTGCTCGTCAGTAGAGTCCTTTTTTGTAATTTTTTCTAATTTTATTAATTTGCTTGCAACTAGAGTCCTTTTTTTGTAATTTTATAAATTTGCTCGTCAGTAGAGTTCTTTTTTCTAATTTTTTTAATTTGCTCGTCAGTAGAGACCTTTTTTATTATTTCTTTCTAATTTTATTAATTTGCTTGTTAGTAGAGTCCTTTTTTGTTGCTTTATTAATTTCGTTCTCTTCTCTATTTTTCTCTATTTTATAAGTTTGCTCGTTAGTACAGTCCTTTTTTGTAATTTTATTAATTTGCTCGTCAGTAGATTTCTTTTTTATTATTTTTTTTAATTTCATTAATTTGCTTGTCAGTAGAGTCCTTTTTTTATTATTTCTTTCTAGTTTTATTAATTTGCTTGTCAGTTTTGCTTTTTTTAATTTTATTAATTTAGTGCTTTTCTCTATTTTTCTCTATTTTATTACTTTGCTCGTCAGTATAGTCCTTGTTTATAATTTTTTTATTTAATTTTATTAAATTTCTTGATAGTAGAGTCCTTGATTATTATATTATTAGTTTCGTTTTTTCTCTATTTTATTTGTTTGCTCGTCAGTAGAGTCCTTTTTGTAATTTTATAAATTTGCTCGTCAGTAGAGTCACTTTTTATTTTTTGGAACTAAATTTACATTTACTCGTCAGTAGAGTCCCTTTTTTATTTTTCAAGCAATTAACAAATTTGCTCGTCAGTAGAGTCCCTTTTTCATATTTTAAGTAATAAATTAATTTGCAAGTTAGTAGAGTCTATTTTTTATCATCAAAACTGATATTAAATTTGTTCGTCAGTAAAGTCCTTTCTTTATTCTGGAAGTTGCTAATTTAGTTGCTCGTCAGTAGAGTCCTTTTCATATCCTATAGATTCATTTTTAATTTGCTTGCCAGCAGAGTCCTTTATTTATTCAATTTGCTTGTCAGCAGAGTCATTTTTTATTACTTTATTAATTTCATTTTTTCTCTATTAATTTGTTTGATCGTCAGTAGAGTCCCTTTTATAATGTTATTAACTTGCTCGCCAGTAGAGCCCTTTTTTATTATTTTTTAGATATTATTAATTTGCTCGTCAGTAGAGTCCTTTTCCTATTATTTATTTCTAATTTTATTCATTTGCTTGTTAGTAGAGTCCTTTTTTGTAATTTTTTTATTTAATTTTATAAATTTGCTCGTCAGTAGAGTTCTTTTTTATAATTTTTTTTTTAATTTTATTTAATTGCTCGTCAGTAGAGTCCTTTGTTGTAATTTTTTTAATTTGCTCGCCAGTAGAGTCCTTTTTTTATTATTTTTTTCTAATTTTATTAATTTGCTAGTCAGTAGAGTCTTTTTTTATTATTTTTTTCTAATTTTATTAATTTGCTTGCTTGTAGAGTTCTTTTCTATTGCATTATTAATTTTGTTCTCTTCTCTATTTTTCTCTATTTTATAAATTTGCTCGTCAGTAGAGTTCTTTTTTCTAACTTTATTAATTTGCTTGTCAGTAGAGTCCTTTTTTATTAATTTTTTCTAATTTTATTAATTTGCTTGCTTGTAGAGTTCTTTTCTATTGCATTATTAATTTTGTTCTCTTCTCTATTTTTCTCTATTTTATAAATTTGCTCGTCAGTAGAGTTCTTTTTTATAATTTTTTTAATTTGCTCGTCAGTAGAGACCTTTTTTATTATTTCTTTCTAATTTTATTAATTTGCTTGTTAGTAGAGTCCTTTTTTGTTGCTTTATTAATTTCGTTCTCTTCTCTATTTTTCTCTATTTTATAAGTTTGCTCGTTAGTAGAGTCCTTTTTTGTAATTTTATCAATTTGCTCGTCAGTAGAGTCCTTTTTTATCATTTCTTTCTCATTTTATTCATTTCTTTGTCAAAGTTTGTTTGTCAGTAGAGTCCTTTTTTATCAATCTATTAATTTCCTCGTCAGTAGAGTCCTTTCTCATCTCCCATCGCACTCACCAGGTGTGATGTTGTTCCACATGATGGTGACGTAGTCGTCCCTGTCGTAAGTCGATTGCTGGTGATAGAATCCGATGGCGTGCAGGAATTCGTGCTGGATCGTCGCCTTTCGGAAGCATCCGTAGCCCGGTTGGTACGGCGCCAGATTGGGTCTGGACGCCGGCTAGGTAGCCGACGCTGGAGTAGCAACCCGTGTTCTGACCCTGGGGATAAATGATAATGGCGATTAGTAATGGTATGGTGATAGATATATAATGGAAAAGGACTCTACTGACGAGCAAATGAATTGAATTAGATAGAAATTGAGAAAAGGGATTCTACTGACGAGCAAATTTAAATTTAGTTCTAAAAATAGAAAAGGACTCTACTGACGAGCAAACTTGAATTTAGATCTAGAAAATAAAAAGGGACTCTACTGACGAGAAAATTAATAAATGATAAAGAAATGATAAAAAGACTCTACTGACGAGCAATCTAATAAAATTACAAATAAATAATAATAAAAGGACTCTACTGACGAGCAATCTAATAAAATTATAAAAAAAATATAAAAAAGGACTCTACTGACGAGCAAATTTATAAAAATCACAAAAGTGACTCTACTGACGAGCAAACTTATAAATTACAAAGAAGGACTCTACTGACGATCAAACAAATGAAATAGAGAAAAAATGAAATTAATAAGTAATAACAATGACTGTACTAGCAAGTAAGTTAATAAATTGGAAAAAATATATAAAGGACTCTACTGACGAGCAAATTTTATAAAATTATTAAAAAGGACTCTACTGACGAGCAAATTAATAAAACTACAAAAAAGGACTCTACTGACGAGCAATTTATATAATTATAGAAAAACTCTACTGAGGAGCAACCAAATAAAATAGAGAAAAAACACAAACTAATAAAGCAATAGAAAGGACTCTACTATCAAGCAAATTAATAAAATTAGAAAAAATAATAAAAAAGGACTCTACTAGCAAAAAATATATATAAAGGACTCTACTGACGAACAAATTAATAAAATTACAAGAAAAGACTCTACTAACGAGCAAACTAATAAAATAGAAAAAAATAGAGAAAATCACGAAACTAATAAAGTAATAAAAAAGGACTCTACTATCAAGCAAATTGATAAAATTAGAGAAAATAATAAAAAAGGACTCTACTGACGAGCAAATTTATAAAATTACAAAAAGGACTCTACTGATGAGCAAATTAATAAAATTAAAAAAAGGACTCTAGTTGCAAGCAAATTAATAAAATTAGAAAGAAATGATAAAAAAGGACTCTACTGACGAGCAAATTATTTAGTAATCTAGAGAAATATTTTTTAACTTTGTATTTTATTATTATTAATTCGATAAACATGATTTATTTAATATACTAAATCTAATTCCTTATTCAAAATATAAATGGAAGAAAATAAAGAAAGGACTCTACTAACGAGCAAACTAATTAAATAGAGAAGAGCATAAAATTAATAAAATAAACTCAAATTAATAAAATTAGAAAAAAAAATAGAAACAAGATTCTACTATCAAACTAATTAATAAAATTATAAAAAAGGACTCTACTGACGAGCAAATTCATAAAATTACAAAAGGGACTCTACTGACGACCAAACTAATAAAATAGAGAAAATAGAGAAGAGCACGTAATGAACAAAGTAATAAGAAAGGACTCTACTATCAAGCAAATAAATAAAATTACAAAAAAATTATAAAAAAGAACTCTACTGACGAGCAAATTTATAAAATTACAAAAAAGGACTCTGCTGACGAGCAAACTAATAAAACAGAGAAAAAACGAAACTAATAAAGTAATAAAAAAGGACTCTACTATCAATCAAATTAATCAAATTAGAAAAAATAATAAAAAAAGGACTCTACTGACGAGCAAACTAATAAAATGTAGAAAAAGAATCATACTGACGATTTTTTGTTCAGACATCATTTACTTTATAAGGAGAAAAAATATGTGAGTTTGAAAAAAATATTTTTCTACATCTTTTATACGTTTCGAATCCCTATTTGATTCAACATCAGAGTATAAACAAACTTATAGTATGAAAAAAATAACAACAAACAATAAACAATAAAATATTTGTAAAATGAGCTTTCAATACATATTTATAAAATGAAATTATATATTTATTTTGAAAAATGATGGCTATAAAATATGGGTTTAAAAAAGGACTCTACTGACGAGCAAAAGAAATTTCTATCTAAAATATTCAGAATAGACTTTATTGACGAGCAAATTAAATATAAAATTAAAAGACAAAAGAGGACTCTACTGACGAGCAAACTAAATATTGACTTAGAAAATATAAAAATGACTCTACTAACGAGCAAATCTAATAGGACTCTAAAAGATAAAGAAAGGACTCTACTGACGAGCACATTAAATATAGTTTTAGATGATAAAGGAAGGAATCAAGAAGGTAAAAAAGGGACTCTATTGACGAGCAAACTCAGTTAAAAAGTTCAAATTATTTAATAAATATTATTTACCGTGACTTGGACGTAATGGCGGTCGTTGGCGGTTTTCGGCCTGACTTTTAAACAAGACACTTTAGCGAATTCTGCAACCGCCTGGTGAATGTAGTCGACTTGGGCTTGATCTAGAAGAAAAAAATATTATTTTGGAATGATTAATAAATATAAATTATTATCTATCATTTATCCTTACTGAAATATCCGCTGACGATGGCGTAGGGCACTTCGTTGTTGGGCCAACGATATCTGGTGTTGACCAGGCCATTTCGGCTCAGGAGGCCCCAACGGGCCAGATGTTGCTCCGGAGTCAAAATCATGTCGCCTTCGGTTTTACCACTGTACATCCAGGCATTCTTTTCTGAAAAAGTAAATGAGTTTTTTTTAATGAAAAAGGACTCTACTGGCTAAAGGAAACTGAATTTAGGGCAAATGAAAGATTAAAATTAAAACCAACTGATTTTTTATCCAATTGAATTTTTTTGGAGATGGAACTGCTGGACATTTTTTTGGATAGAAAAAGGACTCTACTGACGAGCAAACTTTAATTAGGCATGAGACGAATATAGGACTCTACTGACGAGCAAATTATAATATCAACTAAGAAAATAAGAAGATAAATCTATAGAATATATTTAAAAGGACTCTACTGACGATCAAATTGAAACTTTTGATATGAGGAAAAAAAGGACTCTACCAATAATTTAAAGAAACCTAAAAAATAGAAAGAGTATTTTACTAATAAAAAAGAAACTCTACTGACGAGCAAAATAAAACGAAAGAAAAATGTAATCTGTTGATAAATAAATAAAAAATTTGAAAAAAAACTCTACTAATGAACAAACCACTTTTTTCTAGAACTGACCAAATAAGAACTCTACTAACGAGCAAACTAAAATACAAAATAAATAGAACTCTACTGACGAGCTAGCTAAAATCCGACCTAAAAGGGAAAAGAGACTTTTAATTAAATGAGAACTACTGACGAACGAGCTAAATTTTGATTTAAATGAGAAAAAGAACTCTACTGACGAGCAACATTTTTTAAAAATAAAATGAGAAAAGGATTTCTACTGACGAGCAACATTTTTTAAAATAATATAAAAAGGGATTCTACAGACGAGCAAGCTAATTTTTGCTTTTAAAAAAGATAAGGGACTCTACTGACGAGCGACATTTTTTTAAAATAATATAAAAAGGGACTCTACTGACGAGCAAACTAAATTTTGACATAAATGAGAAAAGTGACTCTACTGACAAGAGATAATTTTTCTAAATAAAATAAGAAAGGGACTCTACTGACGACAAGCAAACTAAATTTTGATTTAAAGAAGAAAAGGGACTCTACTGACGATCAATTTTTAATACAAATCACGAAAAAAGAAAAAAAAATTCTAAAGAATTTCATTATCAATCTAATAAAAAAGGACTCTACTAACGAGCAAACTCAATAATCGACCTAGAAAACACAAATAGGACTCTACTGACGAACAAATTTGCACAATAAAAATGGAATATGAATTTTCCATTTTCCAAAAATGTATATCAATATTTTCTTACCGTCATTATTGACTGGAAGTGCCGAGCAAGCACCAACCAACACAATAGCTGCCACCAAAAGTTTCATCTTGAACCAAATTTTAACCAAAATCAACTATGTCAAAATTTTGGCAACGAATCTATTTATATACAAGTATTTGTTGATGTTTACGAGATTATTTTCATTGATTTATTAATCCATAATTGATAAGAGATTAGCTAAAATTATGTTAAGGTCAGAAAAAGCATTGAAGACCAAAATAACTAATTTGCATTAATGTGTGAATAATTGACTTAATCAATATATTAATTTATGAGTATACCGGGTTGCTGTATGGCTTATAAAACAAGGCAGGATTGTAGTGTATTTAATTTTGTACAAATTTGCCGAACGCAATAAATATTTTATACAAATAATTTAAATTTTATGTACGCTTACCATGTCTTCCGAACCTAACACAATGCTTTCCCATACATTTTTACTTAGGCTTGGCTGCGCATGGTGAGCGTTACCTTAATATTTTTTTTAATAAAAACGCATTTAATTAGTTTTATTGTTTGTCATATACTAAACTAGGCGTAAGTGACATTTTGCCTTAGGGCAAGTAGCATGAACTTGCCCATATGTGCAATTCAATATATAATTAATGATTTTTAAGTAGTGAAAGTTCGTCAATTAATTGGGAAAAAACAGCCCGACCAATCTTTACCAAAAATTATATAGCTCTATTTACAATTAATGGCTTTCGAACGGTTTTTATATTTTAAAAAATGGTTTACAATTGAAAAAAGTGCATTTTTTTAAATTACGCCAATACTTATTTTTAATTTATTGTTCTAAAATTTCAAATTGAAATTTTTGTTACACATTTTTATTGATAGGTAAATAAAAATTAAATATTGATAGTAAAATTCGAAATATAATTCATATATTTTACATACATATGGTTATGATTATTATTATTAATAATATTATTTCTTGTTATTTTACAATTTTATCACAAGTTGTCTAGCACTGATTTTTTAATCCTCGTCATTTCTCGAAATCTTTAAATTTTTACTTAATCATTTGTTTTGCTCTTGCAAATTTATCATAAATCAGATAATTTATTTACGTAACTTTGTAAAAAATTATCTTTGGTTATTTTTAAATATGTCATAATTATATGTATATATGTATATATATATATATATATATATATATATATATATATATAGAATATGGGATATATATTATATATATATATATATAATATATATATATATACAGATATATATATATATATATATATAATATATAATATATATTATTGAAAGATATAAACTAGAGCTAAAGATAATAGAGAAATTTGTGTGAATGTATTTATATTAATCACAATTCATTTTCCCCGCTGCAATACATGGCATTTAATTTTCTTATATCAGACTCTGTCATTATATAATTGTACTCAATAACAGTATTCATGTCATTCTGGAAAAGATCATTTTGATTCAAAAAAATCTCTTAAACCTATTTTCAAAGTTAAGAAGTGTGACCTTACCCTTCGAACTATAGTATTTTTTTTATTTTTACTAAAGGCAAAGGAGGGATAATGCATGATGCTTTGGTAGTCGTAAGTCGTACCATACGATTGATCCATACTTTCAGGTTCCTTATTGAAGGCAAATTGAAATTCTTAAAAAAAAACAATGTTAAAAGTAAGTTATGGGACCGATTCTGCCGCATAACAGAAAAATGTTATGGCAAGGCCATGTTATGAAAGATTTTTTATACTAAAACATTGACTAAAGCCATTGACTAAAGCCAAAGTCAGATAAAAAACTTAATCTAGAAACCGCAAAAAGAGGACTCTACTAGCAATCGAACATTTAAATAGACCTAGAAAATAGAAAGAACACTTTACTAATGAAAAAAAAGTAACTCTACTGACGAGCAAAATAAATTAAGAGAAAAATGTAATTTATTTGAAGAATTTGAAAAAAAAGCTCTACTAATGAGCAAACCACATTTTTCTAGAACTGACCAAATAAAACCTCTACTGACGATCAAACTAAAATTTGATTTAAATGGAAAAAAGGAACTCTACATTTTTTTAAAAATAATATAAAAAGGGACCCTACTGACGAGCAAACTAAATTTTAATTTAAATGGTTTAATTTAAAAAGAGACTACTGACCAGGGACAATTTTTTAAAATAAAGTGAGAAAGGGGCCCTACTGAGGAGCAAATTAAATTTTGTTTAAATAGTAAAAGAGACTCTACTGACCAGAGACATTTTTTTAAAATAAAGTGCGAAATTGACTCTACTGACGACCAAATTAAATTTTAGTTTAAATGGAAAAAAGGGACTCTACTGACGGGCAACATTTTTTTAAAATAGAATGAAAAAAAGCAAACTTAATTTTGATTTGGAAGATTAAAAAAAGACTCTACTGACGAGCCACATTTTTAAAAATAATATAAAAAGGGACTCTACTGACGATAAAAATGAATTTTGAATCAAATGGAGAAAAGGGGCTCTACTGACGAGCGACATTTTTTTAAAATCATATAAAAAGGGACTCAACTGACGAGCAAACTAAATTTTGACTTGAATGGTAAAACAGACTCTACAACAGAGACATTTTTTTTAAATAAAATTAGAAAGGGACTCTACTGACGAGCAAATTAAATTTTGTTTAAATGGTAAAACTGATTCTACTGACCAGAGACAACTTTTTTAAATAAAATTAGAAAGGGACTGTACGGACGAGCAAACTAAATGTTGACTGAAATGGTAAAATAGACTCTACTGACCAGAGACAATTTTTTAAAATAAAATGAGAAAGGGACTCTACTGACGAACAAATTTAAGGCCATGTTATGAAGAACTCGCCATAGCAAATATTGACAAAAGCCAAGCGGTTGCTGTGCAGTCGGGCGTATTTCTCAGGTTGTCAGATAGAAAATCTAACCTAGAAACCGCACAAAACGATCTTAGATAACCGTGTCTTTCTGACCCAGCTTCATAACATACGAGTGACGTTGCAGTTTATGTGTAAAACGCCTGAATGCACAGCAAACACATGACATTTTGACAGTATACAGTATGATTCAGTAGCATGATGCATGTAACATGGCCTTGCCATAACATTTGTATGCTGTGAGGCAGAATCGGTTCCTAAGTCTGATATGTTCAAGATGTTCAAATATACCGTCTTTAATATTTTCTCTGTAAATATACACATAGTCGTCTCTATTATGAGCAGCATGCTGATGATGAAATCCTAAAGAATGCAGAAATTCGTGTTGAACTACACTCTGAGTTACGCAACCGGTTCTTTCCAAATGAATTGATTGTACTCTATTTCTAAAACCTAGCTCTGCATTACATCCCTTTTTATCGCCCTAAAATAAAGAAATTAATATAAAACAAAACAAATTTTTGTACGAATTGTTATACCGATATTAGGACGTAGTTTTTTTCGCCTCTTCTCCTTGGTCTGACAGTTACGCAAGAAACTTCAGCAAACTTTCTGGCTGCTTCGTGAATTATATTTCTCTCTGTTTGATCTAAAAAATATACAACTCAATAATTTTTCAACAAAAAACAATGTTTTATCCATCCATATTGGCGGTTCGAATGTCGTGAAAAGTCTAGGGTGCACGTTCAAATTTTGCCAAACCATACGAATAGTGTGATGGCTGGTGGAAAGAAAGCACGAACATTTATAAAGGACGAGAGATACAACTTGTCGTCTAGCCGTAACACTAACCAAAAATTCGAACGTACACGCTGGATTTTTCGTGACCTTTAGCCCTTGCATATGGATGTTTCGTGCATTTACTATATACTAAATTTTATAGTTTCAAAATTATGAATTATTACTTACTAAAACAAGATGTGATGACATACGGGACAGTGTTGTTAGGCCAAATATATTTTTGCAAATCCATAGTGATTTCTCCTCTCATCGCAGACATTTGTTCTGAATTTAATATCATGTCGCCTTCGTATTGACCACTATCCATCCATGTCATACCTAAATTGACCAATTTGTTACTAAATTATTCAATTTAATAAATATTTTTATAATTTGAATACCGTTTGTCGGAGATGACAAATAAATTAAAGATAATAAAAGAACAAAAACTAGCATCTTGCTTTAAGCTTTTTGAAAATATTCAAGCGTTGTGACACGTTTTGCAAAATTGTATGAAATGAACTGTAAGTTGATTTTTCGATAAATTCAACCTTGAATTATTTTTTGTTTATTTTATTTAGAAAATACAGGAGAACAGTGTAATTGGATACGAATTATTATCTTGATTTAAAAGTACTGAAATATTTATTTCTAGTTGCTTAATTTTATTAACTTAAAATATTTTTAAATGTATTCTTTATTTGTCTTCAATATTTTTGAAAATTCGAGTTTTATATCAAATGAACGTGTTAAAATTTGAAAAAAACTACAAATAGTTAACAAGGTCAAATTTTAAAATTATAAATTTGTAATTACAAGCAATTAAACAGACTATAAATAAAATTGTATAAAAATATTGTTCTTTGTTTATAAATCATCTGTTCATAAATTAAATATCCTTTTCACGCCGTTTTCCTCTAAAATTGCAGATAAACGTAGTCGTGTGACCCTTTCAAAGGTCAAAAGTAATTCGTACAGATTCTACTCAATAATTATAATGGAAAAAAATTCTTTGAGAAGTTAATAATGAGTTTGTTAAAATAAATCAAACACATTGGTTTATAATTTTAACATATTATTGTATTTGCTGAAACACACTGATCTTATTATTCATTTATTAACACTAATTACACTAATGGTATTTATAGTTACTTTATATAAACTACCCTTATCATTATCATTTATCCATCGTAATTTTGCGTGATTTTTTTCATAGCCAATATATTTTTACATATTATAAAAGTTGTTAGAACTGTCGATATATATATATATATATATATATATATATATATATATATTACAATTTATTATCTTCACTGCAATACATGCCATTTAATCTTTGAATATCCATTTCAGTCATCTCTTTGTTGTCTCCAATTGTGTTTGGTGTACCGGACTAAAAAATAAATTGTGAAATTAGTGTAATATGAAGAGTTTGCGTAAAGAAGTTTTGCTTCACCTTCACCGCTATAGTTATTTGGCCGTTTTTACTAAAAGCATAAGAGTCGTAATGCATGACGCTCTTGTAGTCGTAACTGGTGCCAAAATATTGGTTCATGGTCGAAGGAATTTTTACAAAATTGTGTTCATTTCCTTTAAAAAATAAAAGGATAAAAATTGTATTAAAATAATGATAATTTAAAGAGTTCTTTACTGTACCATTTGCAATATTTTCTTTATAAACAGTCACGTAGTTGTCTCTATCGTAAGCAGATTGCTGGTGATGGAATCCCAAAGCGTGCAGAAATTCATGTTGTATGATAAAGTCGTATAAGCAACCACTTTTTTGCAAATTTAGTTGCTGGACATTATTCATAAATCCTACGTATGAATAACATCCTTCGTTTTCGCCCTTAAAATAATTAAATTAATACTAAACAAAACCAAAATGCTGTTAAAATATTAAAAAGTTGTACTGTTATTTGCACGTATTTGTTCTCGCCTTTTCTTCTGGGTCTGACAGTGACGCAAGATACTTCAGCAAATTTTTTAACAGCCTCGTGAATTATATTTTTCTCTGTTTGATCTGCAAAAATAATAAAACACAACAAAAAACAATGTTTTATCCATCCATATTGGCGGTTCGAAGGTCGCGAAAAGTCTAGTGTGAACGTTCGAACTTTATCAAACCGTACGAATAGTGCGACGGCTAGTGGAAACAAAGCACAAACATTTACAAAGAACGCGCGATACAATTTATCGACTAGCCGTCGCACTAACAGATGTTTTGTTCAAGATTCGTACGTTCAGACTGGACTTATCATGACCTTAGAACTCTGCATATAGACTTATGCACATACGTAAAATTTGTTCATAAAAGGTACTTTTACAGTAATTTTGTTAAAATACAGTCAAAAGCAATAGTTTTTTTTGTGCAAAATACTTACTAAAACACGGCATTATAAAATAAGGCAGAGTATTGTTAGGCCAATGATATTTTTTCATATCCATCGTGATTTCTCCTCTCATTGCAGACATTTGTTCTGAATTTAATATCATGTCGCCTTCGTATTTACCACTTCGCATCCACATCATACCTAAAACCATTAAATTTTTAATATAAAATTTAATTTATTATAAATAATTTAGTACTTACCCCTGTCTCTAGTCGGATTTGCAAAACTAAAATCAGATATTGTAGATAATAATAAAAATACAAAAAGTAGCATTTTGTTTTTGATTTTGAGAAAATTTATTCAAAAAAAATTTGTATGCACTGGAAACATGGAAGTTGTTTTTCATAAACTAAACCTTGTTTTTGATTGTTGTTTGTTTTATTAAATAAATACAGGAGTGCAGTGTTACTGGGTACAAATTATCAAATTTGTCGACATAATTATACTCGTTAGCGCAAAAAAATTTATTTGTGTTAAAAACTTTGTTTTTGTATTTAAAATTTTATAAATAATAAACTTTCTATGAAAATATCGAAGCCAAAATAATTTATTTATATATTTCAATCATCATCTATTTATAAATTAATTATCTCATTTACCCCGTTCTCTCCTACAATCGTAGATAAAAGTCATCGTGTGACCCCCTAAAGGTCAAAACTGACTCGCACAGATTATTTGCTATTTTTAACTGAATTTTTATTATAGTAAACTGATTATTGTAAACAATTCAGTATAAAGAATTGAGATTAGGACATACAAGGTGCATGTCCTAAGATCCCAGTTCATTGTTACAAATTCTAATAAAGGTTGAACCACTTTTCATAGGCCTATAATATTTTAGTATGTAGGATCAATCGTAACTGTTTTTAAATCGTTTCACAATTTTTAAAATTGGAACGGTGATGGAAAATTGTATGTATATATATATATATATATATATATATATATATATATATATATATTCTTATAGGAGATAATCTCTTATATGCATTAACACCAACATCACATTGTCTTAAAAAATGTATTTAATTTTGATTGACAATAAAAGTATGCATATATATATATATATATATATATATATAAATATATATATATATATATATATATATATATATATATATATATATCAAGTCCTTATTAAGGACCACGCTAACAATTTATTATCTTTACTACAGTATATGCCGCTTAGTTTTCTTGTCATCATCATTTTTGTTATTCTGGAAAATATCTTTTTTTTTTTAAAAAAAATCTATCCAAACTGTTTCATAGGAAGTTTTACTTAACCTTTGGTACTATGGCTTTATTTATAGGCCAATTCCCATAGATTTTTCGCGAATTATATTCGACAATTATATTAAATGAAATCGTGAAGTTAATAATACATTTATTCATAATTGTAAATTTACATTAGTAATATATGTGCCTCTTGGCAAGTTGTTGAAATTATTGCTACTTATATATCACAATTCATTATCTTCACTACAATACATGCCGTTCAATTTGCGAATGTCTTTTTCTGACATTTTTTTATTTTTTTCAATTTCATATGAAGGATTTGACTGAAACAAAATCGTACTATTAGCTAAGAGTTTTTTTTTATTTTGACGAAGTTTTACTTCACCTTTCGCTCTATGGTTTTCATATCATTTACGCTGAACGCATAAGAGGAGTAGTGCATGACGCTTTTGAAGTCATAAGTCGTGCCGAAAGATTGATCCATGCTTAAAGGTATCTTTTTGAAATTGTACAGATTGTCTTTGGAGAAAAACAAAAGTTGAAATTATGTCAACAAAGTGCTTAATATTTGTTTAAAATTGTCAAACGTACCTTTTTCAATATTCTTAAAGTTAATAGTCACATAGTCATCTCTATTTGGAGCATTATGCTGATGATAAAAACCTAGAGCGTGCAAAAATTCATGTTGTATGGTGTGGTCTCTCAAGCAATCGTCTTTTTCCAAATTTAATTGCTGAACATCATTATCAAATCCTACGGATGACCAACATCCATCGTCTTCGGCCTTTAAATAAATATATTAATACTGAACAAAACCAAAATGCTGTTAAAATATTAAAAAGTTGTACTGTTATTTGCACGTATTTGTTCTCGCCTTTTCTTCTGGGTCTGACAGTCACGCAAGATACTTCAGCAAATTTTTTTACCGCTTCGTGGATTATATTTGCTTCTCTTTGATCTGCAAAAATAATAAAACACAAGAAAAAACAATGTTTTATCCGTCCATATTGGCGGTTCGAAGGTCGCGAAAAGTCTAGTGTGAACGTTCGAACTTTATCAAACCGTACGAATAGTGTGACAGCTGGTGGAAATAAAGCACAAACATTTACAAAGCACGCGCGATACAACTTGTCGACTAGCCGTCGCACTAACATATGTTTTGTTAAGGATGCGAACATTCACACTGGACTTATCGTGACCTTAGATCTCTGCATATGGACTTATGCATATGCATAAATTTTGTTTATAAAACGTGTTTTTTCAGATATTTTTATTAAAATTTAGTTTTAAGCGAGAGTTTTTTATACAAAATACTTACTAAAACATGGCATTACATAATAAGGCACAGTATTGTTAGGCCAAAGAAATTTTCTCATGTCCATCACGGTTTCTCCTCTCATCGCAGACATTTGTTCTGAATTTAAAATCATGTCGCCTTCGTATTTACCACTGTACATCCACATCATATCTGAAACAGTTGATTATCTTAAAACCATACTAATTTGTACTTAAATTATTAAGCATCATCAAATATTCGCCAATAACGAATATTTTTAGAATGCAATATATAGATTTATTATTTTACCTCTATCTCTTGTTGGCGATGATAAACCAATATTGGATACTGTAGATAAAAATAAGAACACAAAAACTAACATTTTGTTTTTGATTTTGAGAAAATAGATTAACAAAGAAATTGTATACGAGTTGTTTATTATTAAATTGAAACTTGTTTATATATATACTGTTTATCTTTTCCAGAAAATACGAGAGTATAGTGTAATCGGGTACGAATTATCATAAATATTAACAGCTTAATCTTTAATAATTAATTATGATAATCTGTTTTTTTCAAATATTTTTTCAATAAATTGGACCTTTGAATTGCAAATTAGCAAATTCCAAATTTCAGATTACTAAAAATGCAATTTAATGAAATTACAATTAGTAATTTTTAATAAATAAGTACAACTACGATTTTTGATTTTGTATTATTTATTAATTCTGCAACATTCTGAACACACTGAGGGTGACCTTTATTAACAAATAATAATATAAATTAATAAAATAATTTAAGACTCGTTAAGTTAATATAAATGGATTTTTTGCACCGTTCTCCCATATAATCGCGAATAAACTTTGTTATCAAAGGTCAAAATTAATTCGCATAGGTTACTCGCGAATTGATTAATTTAATTATACTAATAATAAATAATAATAAATTAATTAACAAAAATAATTTAAGATAAAACTTATAGAATTCTCTATAAAATTATTGATGAATCTTGTTTTATATACCCACAGCGTTTATGTACATTTTTGAACTCTACTGACGAGCAAATTTAGATTTAAATCTAAAAAATAGAAAAAGGGACTCTACTGACGAGCAAATAAATTAGATTTGGATCTAAAAAATAGAAAAAGGGACTCTACTGACGAGCAAATAAATTAGATTTGGATCTAAAAAATAGAAAAAGGGACTCTACTGACGAGCAAATTTAAATTTAAGTCAAGAAAATAAAAAAGGACTCTACTAATAAGCGAATAAATTAAATTTAGATCTAGAAAATAAAAAAAGGACTCTACTGACGAGCATATTTAAATTTAGATTTAAAAAATACAAAAGGGACTCTACTGACGAGCAAATAAATTAAATTTGGATCTAGAAAATAAAAAAACGGACTCTACTGACGAGCGAATTTAAATTTGGATCTAAAAAATAAAAAAATAACTCTACTGACGATCAAATTTAGATTTAGATCTGAAAAATATAAAAAGGATTCTACTGACGAGCATATTTAAATTTAGATCTAGAAAATAAAAAATGGACTCTACTGACGAGCAAATTTAGATTTAAATCTAAAAAATAAAAAAAAGGACTCTACTGACGAGCATATTTAAATTTAGATCTAGAAAATAAAAAATGGACTCTACTGACGAGCAAATTTAGATTTAAATCTAAAAAATAAAAAAAAGGACTCTACTGACGAGCAAATTTAAATTTAGATCTAGAAAATAAAAAAGGACTCTACTGACGAGCAAACTAAATACAAATCTAGAAAGTAAAAAAGGGACTCACTGACGAGCAAATTAAATTTAATACTAGATGATAAAGAAAGGACTCTATTTTTTTTTCAAAATATTGCATTAACTTCATCGAAAATTATTTGTTTTAGTTCAAATAAAACTTCAACAGTTTGCAACATTTAATACATTCCATCACTTACAATAACAATCACAGTTTACAAAATATTTAATTTTATAAATTTTCCAAAATTCATCCCTTGCAATACATAGCGTTAAGTTTCAAGATATCCTTATCGCTCAACTTCACTCTTTGGCCGATGACTTCTGACATTGCTGGATCCTGAAACCAAAAACCAAAAACATTAGCAAAATGGTGTATTAGAGTAAAGAAGTTTTACTTCACCTTGGTCACTATGGTCTTTTGTCCATTCTTCGAGAACCCATAAGCCGAGTAATGCATCACACTCGAGTAATCATAACTTACACCAAAATCTTGGACGGTGGTTGCAGCATATTTGTTGAAATTGTGCTGATGGTCTAAAACAATAAAAAAAAGACTCTACTGACGAGCAAATTTAAATTTAGTTCTAGAAAATAGAAAAAGGGACTCTACTGACGAGCAAATTTAAATTCAGATCTATAAAATAAAAAAGGGACTCTACTGACGAGCAAGTTCAAATTTAGTTTCAAACAATGAAAAAGGGTCTCTACTGACGAGCAAAATTTAAAAAGGAAGTAAAAAAGGACTCTACTGACGAGCAAAATTAAACAACTGAGAAGATGGAAAAGGACTCTACTGACGAGCAAATTAATTGATTAACTTGATAAATAAAAAAGGGACTCTACTGACGAGCAAGTTCAAATTTAGTTTCAAACAATGAAAAAGGGTCTCTACTGACGAGCAAATTTAAATTTGGATCTAGAAAATAAAAAAGGGACTCCACTGACGAGCAAAATAATTAATAACTTGAAAAATAAAAAAGGGACTCTACTGACAAGCAATTTAAATATATACGTATATGATAAAGAAAAAACTCTACTGGCGATCAAACCTAGAAATCGACCTAGAAAATGAAAAAAATAGGACTCTACAACCGAGCAAATTTAAATTTAGTTCTAAAAAATAAAAAAGGGACTCTGCTGACGAGCAAATTAATTAATAACTTTTAGTTCTAAAAAATAAAAAAGGACTCTACTGACGAGCAAAATAATTAGATACTTAAAAAAGAAAAAAGGGACTCTACTGACGAGCAAATTAATTAGGTACATGAAATATAAAAAAGGGACTCTACTGACGAGCAAATTAAATATATACGTATATGATAAAAAAGGGACTCTACTGACGAGCAAACTTAAATTTGGACTAAAAAATAAAAAAGGGACTCTACTAATGAGCAAATTAATTAGATACTAAAAAAATAAGAAAAGGACTCTACTGACGAGCAAATTTAAATTTAGATCTAGAAAATAAAATAGGGGCTCTACTGACGAGCAAATTAATAAAATAGAGAAAAATAGAGAAGAGAACAAAATTAATAATGCAATAGAAAAGAACTCTACAAGCAAGCAAATTAATAAAATTAGAAAAAAGTAATAAAAAAGGGACTCTATTGACAAGCAAATTAATAAAATTAGAAAAAAATAATGAAAAAAGACTCTACTGGCGAGCAATCTAATAAAATAATGAAAAAGGACTCTACTGACGAGCAAACAAATAAAATAGAGAAAAATAGATAATTGCACGAAATTAATAAACTAATAAAAAAGAACTCTACTGACGATCAAATTAATTAACTTGAAAAATAACAAAGGAACTCTACTGACGAGCAAATTAATAAAGTTAGAAAAAAAATAATTAAAAAAGGATTCTACTGGCGAGCAATTTAATAAAATAATAAAAAAGGACTCTACTGACGAGCAAACAAATAATAGAGAAAAATAGAGAATTGCATGAAATTAATAAACTAATAAAAATGAACTCTACTGACAAGCAAATAAATAAAATTTAAAAAAATAATAATAAAAGGACTCTACTGACGAGCAAATTTAAATTTAGTTATAAATAATAAAAAAAGGACTCTACTGGCGAGCAATCTAATAAAATAATAAAAAAGGACTCTACTGACGAGCAAACAAATAAAATAAAGAAAAATAGAGAATTGCATGAAATTAATAAACTAATAAAAATGAACTCTACTTAATTATGTGAAACAACGCCAACAAAAAATCCGATTCGCTAATTTTATGTTTTGTAGACTTTTCAAGCCATTTTGAATCGAATTTGACCAAAGTTGGAAAACGTATGTGTGTGTGTATATATGATAAAGAAGGGACTCTACTGACGAAAAATTAAAAATCGATCTAGAAAATAAAAAAGGGACTCTACTGATGAGCAAATTAACTAATTTGCCTAAACTAAATTACCTAAAATTTCAAAAAGTGACTACTGAAGAGCTCTCTAAAACTTAAATTTAGATTTAAAAAGTAAAAAGGGACTCTACTGACGAGCAAATTTAAATTTAGTTTTATAAAATAAAAAGGGACTCTACTGGCAATCAAATTTAAATTTAGTTCTAAAAAATAAAAAAGGACTCTACTGACGACCAACATTAATTATAAAGGACTCTACTGACGAGCAAATTAAATTTAAATCTAGAAAATAAAAAAGGACTCTACTGACGAGCAAATTAATTGATAACTTGAAAAATAAAAAAGGGACTCTACTGGCGCGCAAAAATAATTAATAGCTTGAAAAATGAAACAAAGGACTCTACTATCGACCTAGAAAATAAAAAAATAGGACTCTACAATCGATTACAAAAATAGGACTCTACTAATCGATAGAAGCAGAAGTGGGATCAGAAAATTTAGGGGTTGTAGTGATTCTTTTACCTCTTTTATCTCTTTTATCTACTTACTGTCTTGAATGTTTTCCCACATAATGGTGACGTAGTCGTCCCTGTCGTAGGTCGATTGCTGGTGGTAGAAGCCGATGGCGTGCAGGAATTCGTGCTGAATCGTCGCCTTTCGGAAACAACCCTTTTCGATGGCGTCTGGGGCCAGATTTAAGGTTTGGATGCCGTTTTGGAAACCGACACTGGAGTGGCAACCTGTGGTCTTACCCTGGGGGAAGAGAGATTGATGTAAGAAATCGTGAGGTCTTGGTAGAGTAGAGACAAAGTTAAAAAAGGACTCTACCGACGAGCAAATTTGAGAAAAAAAAAGACTGCTGACTCAAAAATGAATCTAGAAGATATGTAAAGGGCTCTACTGACAATCAAATTAATTTATTAATTAAAATAAAAAAGGGACTCTACTGACGAGCAAATTAAATTTGATCATAGATGATAAAATAGGGATTCTACTGACGAGCAAATTTGAGAAAAAAAAGACTGCTGACTCAAAAATGAATCTAGAAGATATGAAATTGTTCTACTGACAATCAAATTAATTTATGAATTAAGATATAAGAAAGGAGCTCTACTGAAGAGCAAATTTAATATCAACCTTGATGGTAAAAAAGGACTCTACTGACGAGCAAAATCAAAGTCAACCTAGAAGTTAAAAACAACTCTACTGACGAGCAAATTTAAATTTGGATCTGAAAATAAAAAAGGGACTCCACTGATGTGTTTGATAAAGAAAGGACTCTACTGACGAGTAAAATCAAAGTCAACTTAACACGAACAAATTTGAATATAAACCTAGAAGCAAAAAAGAGGGCTACTGGCAAGCAAATTGAATAAATAAAGGACTCTGCTGACAAACAAATCAAAAATAAATCTAGAGGATATGAAAAGAACTCTACTAACGAGCAAATTAATTAATAACTTGAAAAATAAAAATATAAAAAGGGACTCTTCTGACGAGCATATAAATTAGTTACTTAAAAAATAAAAAAACGACTCTACTGACGAGCAAATTTAATTTACTACTTGAAAAATAAAAAAGGGACTCTACTGACGAGCAAATTAACTAATTACTTAAAATATAAAAAGGTAACTCTACTGACGAGCAAATTTAAATTTAGATCTAAAAAGGTCTAAAAAAAATTAGGTCAGGAGAGACCTTTTATTTTCTAGATCGTCGGTATAGTTCCTTTTTTATTTTTTAGATCCAAATTTAAATTTGCTTGTCAGTCGAGTCCTTTTTTACCTTTTAAGTCTATAGTTAATTTGCTCGTTAGTAGAGTCCTATTTTTATCATTAATGTGATTTGTTTGTAGGTAAAGTGTTTTCTTTTTGTAGATGTACGAGCGAATCTAAATTTTGATTTAGAAAATAAGAGGACTCTACTGACAAGCAAGGTAGTCAGGTAAAAAATAAAAAAAGGTTGTAAAAAACTATAAAATTAATTATTCCTTTGCTCGGATCAGAGGTATGGATTCTTAATCTACTAATAATTAAATATGGATCTGAAATGCTGAAAAACGAACTATACAACTCTAGAGTTGCTCCACTATATTTTAAACTTTACCTGTTGTCATATAACATAAAACATGTAACCGAGAATAGCTATCTATCTTACTTACCGTAACCTGGACGTATTTGGTGTCAGAGCTGTTTTTAGGCCTAACAATCACGCAGGAGATTTTATTGAACTCGGCAACGGCTTTGTGGATGTAGTCTTCTTGTTCTTTATCTGCAAAAAGAAATAAATATTATCACTATCCTCATCTGCCTTTGGGTAATACTATCATAGGTATTTACTAAAGTATCCTGGTATGATGGCATAGGGTACATGCTTCAAGGGCCATCGGTACTTCTTGTCGATGAGGCCGTTTCTGGGGCCAAGACCCAAGACTGCCATCATTTGCTCTTGGTTCAGCACCATGTCGCCTTCGAATTTGCCACTGTTCATCCAAGCAAGGTCTAAAGTAAAAAATATTGGTTTTAGAAAGGATTCCACTGATTATAAAGGGACTCTACTGACGAGCAAATTGAATATCAATCTAAAACATCCAAGCTGCGTTTAGATTATAACTCTGTTAAGATCGGAGACATTGACTCTACATCTACAAAAAAAAATACTTTACCTACAAACAAATCACGTTAATGATGAAAAAAGGACTCTATTGACGAGCAAACTTAAATACAAACCTAAAAGGTAAAGAAAGGACTCTACTGACGAGCAATTTTAAATTTAGATCTAGAAAATAGAAAAAGAACTCTACTGACGAGCAAAATCAAAGTCAACCTGGAAGTTAAAAAAGGACTCTACTGACGACCAAACTTAAATTTGGATCTAGAAAATAGAAAAAGGGACTCTACTCACGAGCAAAAAATTAAATTTGGGTCTAGAAAATTAAAAAGGGACTCTACTGACAAGCAAAATTAAATATGGATCTAGAAAATAAAACAGGGACTCTACTGACGAGCAAATTTAAAGAGAGTTTTATAAGATAAAAAAAGGACTCTACTGACGAGCAAATTTAAATTTGGATCTAAAAAATAAAAAGGGGACTCTTCTGACGAGTAAATTTAAATTTGGATCTAGAAAACAAAAAAAGGACTCTACTGACGAGTAAATTTAAAAATGGATCTAAAATTCAAAAAAAGGGACTCTACTGACGAGCAAAATCAAATACAAATCCAAAATCTAAAGCAAGAACTCTATTGTTGAGCAAATTAAATACTAACCTAGAAAATAAAAAAGGACTCTACTGATGAGAATTTAAATATCAACTTAGAAAATAAAGAGAGGACTCTACTGACGAGCAAACTGAATCCTGTTTGAAAAATTAATTAGTATCATTCTAAAGTTTTCTCGTCAGTAAAGTCCTTTTCAAATTTTTTAAACTAAACTGGATTAGATTTTTTAAATTGAAAATTATCTTTGCTCGTCAGTAGAGTCCTTTTTAAATTTCAAAATATATTAAAAATATTTTTTATCTGAATATTTATTTAGTTTGCTTGTCAGTAGACTTCTTATGGAATATTTCAAACTAAACTGCATTATTATGCAGAATTGCAAGAATTTTAGTTGCTCGTCAGAAGAGGCCCTTTTTGTGTGGAAATTCTTATTGATTGTCAGTAGAGTCTGTTTTTATCTTTTAAGTAATTAATTAATTTGCTTGTCAGTAGAGTCCTTTTTTATTTGAAAATACTCATTGATTGTTAGTAGAGTCTCTTTTTTATCTCTTCTAGGTTGATTTTTAATTTGCATGTCAGTAGAGTCCATTTTTATCTTTTAAGTAACTAATTCATTTGATGGATTTTAAAATCGCTTTTTATTTTTTAAGTAACTAATTAAATTGCTTGTTAGTAGAGTCCTTTTTTATCATCTAGAATGTATTTAATTTGCAGGTCAGTAGAGTCCTCTTTTCTTCTTCTGGGTTTATATTTAAAATTGCTCGTCGGATTGTTATTTAATTTGCTCGTCAGTAGAGTCCGTTCTTTATTCAATTTGTTCGCCAATAAGCGAAATAAACTTTGTTGGCAAAGGTCAGAAGTGGGATGAATAATACCATTAATATTATTTTAATAATTAATTAATTAATTTACCGTCATTTTTCACCGGCAAAGCCACCACGCACGCAACAGACGCCAAAGCGACCACCAAAACTACCAAATTCATTTTTTTATATTAAATTAATTAATTTTCTTAATACAATTAATTAATTAGTTAATAATTACCGACTGTATCGTTACGATAGCTTTGCATCGCAATTTATAGATTTCAATTATCGGGTTTTTGGAAACTTTTTTGGCATTTTTATCATAGGAGATCACCAAGATTAGATTAGAACAAATAGCGTTTCGAAAAAATAATATAAGAATTGCAAACGAGCAAATTCAATATCGACCTAGACGATGAAGAAAGGACTCTACTGACGAGCAAAATATAGCGACCTCAAAAATAAAAAAAATCTACTTATGAGTAAATTCAAATATGGATCTAGAAAATAAAAAAGGACTCTACTGACGAGCAAATTTAAATTTAGATTTAGATTTAGATTTAGAAAGTGAAAAAAGGCCTCTACTGACGAGCAAAAAAAAGATTAACTTGGATGATAAAAAAAGGACTCTACTGACGAGCAAAATAAAAGTCTACGTAGAAGATTGAAAAAAAAATAATGCAGTTAATTTTAAAATATTCCATAAGAAGTCTACTGGCAAGCGAGCCAAATAAATATTCAGATACAAAATGTTTTGAACATATTTCAAAATTCCAAAGGGACTCTAACTAACGAGCAAACTAGATCTCCAATAAAAGAAAATAATCCAATATAGTTCCAATTTTTAAAAGTAATATTGCATTTAAATCAGACGAGCCGTTTAGAAGTTACTAGACTTTTATTAAATAAATGCATCCATGATGGGTCAAATAAAGTGTCGAAACGTTGTGACGTCAAATTAGTCGTATGGGGTACTATTTGAAAGGTCTCGACGACTTCAATATGAATATACTACGTCATATTAAGGACCAATTTCAGAAAGGACTCTACTGACGAGGTAATTGATTTTCCATCCGATTTTGTTCAAAATTTAAAAGGGTTTTTGTTCAAAACATTTCGTAACACTTTTATCGCTTCTCTAGCGATAATAAATTTTGCAAGTGGCTCTTGTAGACATTCTGTCTGGCAATAAGTGCTAATTTAAAAAAAAAATTAATCTTATCAAAAATTTATCCACATACGTTTCCAAATAGTCTTATCGCATCATCAGTGATAATAATTGGCCATAATTGTAATCTTATCTTATCGCTTTAAGATTTAAATTAAATTTTAATGAAATCTAAATATTTCTGATTTTCCCAAAAAAATTACATAAATATTTTGATATATAAATATATTAGGGTGGTCCTTAATATGGACATTTTCGAATTTCTTTGAGCCCTTGGGAGCAAAAAAATTCAAGAATGTCCATATTGAGGACCACCTTAATATATATATACATATATACTGACTGACTGGTTGTTTAAATAAACCTAAAAGGTAAAAAAGGACTCTACTGACGAGAAAGTTCAATGGAAACCTGGAAGACTCTACTGACGAGTAACTTAAATATTAACCAAGAAAATAAAAAAGGAGTTCACTAGCGAGCAAATTAAATATCGGCTTTAATTTTTAAAAGAGGACTCTACTGACAAGCAAATTAAAAATCATCCAAGAAAATAGAAAAAGGACTCTACTGACGAGCAGTCAAAGTCAACCTAGAAGTTAAAAAAGAACTCTACTGACGAGCAAATTCAAATTTAGATCTAGAAAATAGTAAAGAGACTCTACTGACAAACAAATTTAAATTTAGAAAAGGACTCTACTGACAAGATGGAAGATAGCGAAAAGACTCTACAGTCGAGTAACTTTAATATTAACAAAGGAAAAAAGGAGTCTACTGGCGAGCAAATTAAATATCGACTTTAATTTTTAAAAAAGGACTCTACTGACAAGCAAATCAAAAATCATCCAAGAAAATAGAGAAAGGACTCTACTGACGAGCAACGTCAAAGTCAACCTAGAAGTTAAAAAAGAACTCTACTGACAAGCAAATTTAAATTTAGATCTAGATCATATTAGTTCATGTTCTAATTCAGATAATTCGAATTATGTGATAAATGTCCTGATGATGGAACTGACATAATTTCGAAACGTCGACAATAAATACTAATTTTTTCATAAAACCTTTTAATTATTTATATATATATATATATATATATATATATATATTACTTATTAGAAACTCAACAAAATTACACATACTCATACTATAAACCTAAACAAACTTCATCTACCATTAAACGACGACTCGGATAATATCCGAAACGTAATTCTACTCGTTTATCTATGATTCTACTTCTTTTCACCCAAAACCCGAACCACGCCCTCCTCTACCTCACCAATCCGCACACAGATGCCACCTTCATTAATCTTTCGTCTCTCTCCGTGACGTCACGAGCCGAACGCGTGTGCGATCGGCCGCCGTCGACCAATCGAATACAAGCAAAGAAGCGGCGCGACCGCACGGACGTGTTTATTAAAATCGCGCACATGTGCCACAATAATTATGATAAATAATAATAATAGATTGATAATAGTTATTAATTATTAATTAGTTTTTATTATTAATTAGTTTTTTAATTAGTTCAGTTAGTTGTTATGCAGATGATTAGACATTTGTTGTGTAAATTGTTAACGAAAGTGATTCGGCGAGTTTAATGTGATTGTAATGATGGATAACACTGAAATCAAAGTGAGTTAATAATAGATTTATTTGTTGATATTATTTAATATTTCTATACGTTTATTTATATATATATACATATTTATTTATATTTAAATTTTATATATAATTTTATATATAATATATATTTTTATATATAAAATATATATATATATATATATATATATTATATATATATTAAATTAATTTCGATTTCCAACATAACATTGCACGTACGTTTTTTTATATTTTACGTAAAATAAATTTATTTAAATCCAAAAACAATTATATTTATATTTATATATGAGTTTTTATATATATATATATATATATATATATATATATATAGATATATTATATACGTTTTTTACGCGTTTTTATATATATATATATATATATATATATATATATACGTTTTTTTATACTTTACGTAAAATAAATGTATTTAAATTCCAAAAACAATTTATATATATTTATAATTATATATATATATATATATTATATTTATATGTATATTTATACGTATATGTTTGTATTAAATGTATAATTTATGTGTATGTGTATAAAGTTGTATATATATACACATATGAGATGAGAAAAAGAGAGAGCATGATTAATGTTTATATGCATATGAATGTGTTAGAAAGAGATAGAGTGATTTCTTTATGTTACATAAATTTTATTGAATTTTAAAAACAAAATAAACAACAATTATTATTTATTAAACTTACAATATTATTTTAAAAATTAAATTAAATTTATTATATTTTTTATAATTTTATTTAATTTGATATAAAATGGCTAACGTCTGTTTAATTTTTTGTCGTAAATTTATTAAGGTATTTATTAATTAATGGAGGTTTTCTATTAAATTTATATTTTTATTTTATAAACTGTATATATATATATATATGTATATATATATATATATATATATATATATATATATATATAATATAAAAAATTTATATATCTAGGGTTTTCTACATGTGTGTAAGGTTGTATAAATGTTAAAGCGAAAGAGACAGATTTATATAATTGTATGAGAAAGAAAGAGGGAGAAGATGATTATGGATGTGTACATTTTATTAATTTCATTATTTTTCAAATACAAGATAAACATTTTTATTTTTGTGTGTATATTTATTGAATTAAATTAAATTTATTAAATTTTTTTTACATTAATAATGATTTAATATAAAATGACTAACGTCTTTTTAATTTTGGTATAAATTTATTAATATTCTAAAAAAGTTTTTCTATTAAATTTATATTTTTATTTTATAAATTCGTATATATTTATATATATACAAAATTATTATTTGTTATTATTATTATTATATATTATCTGTATATATATTATGCATGTGTGTAAGGTTGTATATATGTTAAAGCGAAAAAGAGACAGATTTATATAAATGCATGAGACAGAAAGAGATAGAAGGTGATTATGGATGTATATACATTGCATATTATATTTTATCAATTTTATTATTTTTTTTAAATACAAAATAAAGGACAATTTTAATATTGTATATATATTCATATACTTAAATTATTTTTCTATAAAATTTAATTTAATACCAAATCGGTCGGTTAAAACTTAGTTGTATTTTTAATTTCTAAATACATAAAAAATATAAAATATATTACAGAGTAAGCGAGACAGATTTATAGAAATATGTGAGAGGGAAAGAGAGAAGGCGATTATGGATGTGTATTATATTTTATTAATTTTATTGTTTTAATACAAAGTTCATGACAATATTAATATTGTGTAAACATATTTATGTACTTACATTAATTTTTTTTTATAAAATTCAATTTTTAAATAATAATATATTTCAATTTAATATATAAAAGCTAACTTCGGGAATCTTTGTTGTCTTTTAATTTCTAAATACGTAAAAAATATATATTATACGTATATATATATAAATAGTTGATTTATACATATAAATTTATTTTCTATTTTTTATTACTATTATCTGATAAACGCTGACATAGTCAAAATATAAAATATATTACAGAGTAAGCGAGACAAATTTATATGAATGTGTGCGAAAGAAAGAGAGAGAAGGTAATTATGGATGTATGTATATATTGTATATTAAATTTTATTATTTTTTAAATACAAAGTACATAACAATTTTAACATTGCGTATATATTTATATAGTTAAATCAATTATTTTTATAAAATTTAATTTAATATCCAATCGATCGGTTAAAATTATGTTATTTTTTAATTTCTAAATACTTAAAAAAATATATTATATGTATATATATATAAATTTTAATTTTATTCAAACGTATATATATATATATATATATATATATATATTTACATTTTATTACAATTATTTTATAAACACGTTTATATACAAAATATAAAATTTATTACAGAATAAGCGAGACAGATTTATATGAATGCGTGAGAAAGAAAGAGAGAGAAAGTTATTATTTTTCAAATACAAAGTTCATTACAATTTTAATATTGTATATATATTTATTTACTTAGATTAAATTCTTTCATAAAATAATAATTTTTATAATATAAATTGGCTAACGTCGGTTAAAACTTTATTTTTAATATCTAAATAATTAAAAAAAAATTATATGTATATATATGTAAATATTTATTTTATTTATACATATATATTTATTATTTACATTTTTATCTCATAAACACTTTTATATACAAAATATAAAATATATTACAGAGTAAGCAAGACAGATTTATATGAATGCGTGAGAAAGAAAGAGACAGAACGATTATATCATATTAATTTCATTAGATTTTCAATTCCAAAATAGATAACAATTTTACTATTGTCTATTATGAATTTATTAAAAAATTCACATACATTTTTAATATATATATTTTTTTAACTATTTATGAAAATTCTTATTATTTTCTATTATCGATTTCAATAATTCGTTTTGATTGTCAGTAGAGTTCTTTTTTTATAATTACATAAATTATTTGGATAAAAAATTAACTTCCAATATATATATATATATATATATATACATATATTATTATTTCTGACGCCATTTGCTACAAAATGTCCTCAAATATAAAAACATACTTTATAAATAATAATACGGCCTCAGAATTCTAATTAAGTTAAAATACTCTAAATACTTAAATAACATACATATAATTATGTATGCATATATTTGTGTATATATGTATACATAATACATATATACATATGTATTTATAAATGAATAAATTAAAGTCGCCGAGACTTGTTTTCTCTCCTCGGAAACCAATACATTAAAAAACACAATCTCGTTTATAAAAATAAACATATACATATAAAAGTATTAATATATATATATATATATGCATATATATATATATATATATATATATGTATATATATATACATTATGAATGTATATATGTGTGTGCAATAAATTTAGTAATAAACAAATCAAATAATAATTGTAAAGTCATCCATTTTGTATCAAAAGTTTTACTCTGAAGTTGTTATATATACACATATATATATATATATATATATATATATATATATATATATATATATCTATTATATTGACGAATTAATTATTTATACGTAAAAAAAAATTAAAAAAAATAAAAAACGAAAAGTATTTAATATTGAAATAATGCTTACATACAAAAAATATAAATTGAAAATATGACATTTAAATAAATGCACATAATTACCCATAATTATTTATAACAATTTTTATTGTTATTATTGGGATAAACTAATATGAATTAAATTAAAAAATGGCCGCTTTCAACTGTCAACTGCCATTATTAACAATTAATATGAACAATTATTATGAACAATTAAAATTAAAATTAAAATTAAAAAACGTGACTTTTAAATACATCCAATTGTGATAAACAAATGCTTTTTAAGGCAAATTATTTATAAAAATTACAAAAATTACTATAATTGTAAAAAATATAAAAACAATAAACATAAATAATTAAAATTAAAATTAAGAATAAAAATTTTAATACACCCAATTGTGTAAAACAAATGCTTTTTAAGGCAAATTATTTATAAAAATTACAAAAATTACTATAATTGTCAAAAATATAAAATGGCCGCTTTCAACTGTCAATTGAAATTATTAACAATAAACATAAATAATTAAAATTAAAATTAAAAATGGAAATTTGAATACACACAATTGTTATAAACAAATGCTTTTTAAGGCAAATTATTTATAAAAATTACAAAAATTACTATAATTGTCAAAAATATAAAATGGCCGCTTTCAACTGTCAACTGCCATTATTAACAATTAACATAAATGATTAAATGTAAAACTAGCTGTAAGTGGAATTCTGTCTTAAGGCAATTGAGGCATCGTGCCTTGAGGCAAATTGCTGGAACTTCCCGTACCAAAAATTATTATTTTTTTAAAAACGATTAACATTTTTGAAAAAATTTTACTTCGAAAAAATAAGATTTTTTAGAAATTTTAAATTGGACAAAAAATTACTTTTTTTGAAAATAAAATTTTTTTAAAAAAAAAAAATTTTAAACAATTTTTTTTATAAAATTTTTTTTTGGAAAAAATGTTATCTTCATTTTGATATATTTTGGAAGATCTGAACTTTTTTTCAAAGCAATCGTACTGCTTTAACTGCATAGAGACAAAATATAAAGCGCGTAAGCGCCGCGTCGCTGTCTAACAGAAAAACAATGGTACGGAACCCATAGGAATGTAAACAAAACTTATACTTATTGTAAAAATCTCAATAAAATATCTGATAATTTGATATGCATATGTCTAATGTCTAATGATTATTGTTGACCGCCAAATGTTATTTTTTTTAGTTTTTTTTACTAGATCTCCGAAACCGCTAGTCCTATCTTCATGAAAATTTGATCAAATCTTCATCTTGTTAATACAAGTAAAATGTTTTTTGAACTATACAAATCGAACGCTCCGTTCTCTTAAAAACTAAGTTACCGTTTTTGGCCCTTTTTGCCCCATATCTTCGGAACGGCTAGAATGTTTTTTGAATTATTCAAAT